TTTGAGTCAGAGTCTTACTCTGATGCCCAGGCTGGAGTGCAGTGGTATGCCCAGGGCCACCACAGCCTTGACCTGCTGAGTTCAGGTGATCCTTCCACCTCAGCCTTCCAAGTAGTGAAACTACAGGCATGTGCCAACATGCCCAACTAATTTTTTGATTTATTGTAGAGACGAGGTCTTGCCATGTTGCCCAGGCTGGTCTCAAACCTGTGAGCTCAGGTAATCCTCTTGCCTCTGCCTCCCAAAATGTTGGGATTACAGGCGTGAGCCTCCATGCCCAGCTTATTTTTATAGAAATTTAGTGCTGTAATTTGAACTGGTGAACTTTATAACCCAGAAGCAAATGAGGACCTGCCTTCTCAAAATATAAACATCTTGAATATCTCCCTTCTCCCTAAAAACCTTTTATCTATGAGTGATAGTGTATTAAATATGAGGGGTAACCCCCCAAAAAAAGCCCAGAATTTATCCATAAAAAATTGTGTATTTATTCCTATATGTTTAAGCTTCAGTCACCTTCAAAGTCCTCTCCGTTTGATGCAACACACCTACTGAGATATTTTTTCCACTGCTCAAAACAGTTTTTGAATTCGTCAGTTTGGAACCCTTTTAGTGCTTCTACCTACTGCTTTTTGTTTCGCCTCTTCCATATGGGCAAAACATTTGCCTTTGAGGACTTTTTTCATCCAGGGAAACAAAACAAAGTCACTTGGGGTGAGATTGGTTGAATAAGAAGGGTGGGCCATGGGGATCATGCTGTTTTTAGTCAAAAACTTCTGAACACAGCATGGTGTGGGCAGGTGCATTGTCATGGTGGAAGAACCGGTCACCTGTATGCCACAACTTGGGACATTTCTTCCTTCTACAATACAGCCTCTTGCAACAACGCTAGCTAGTTCACTGATGCCAGTGGGTTGATGGGTTCCTAGATAATTCTGGGGTTTTGGGGTCCCCCTTTGTTTATCCATATATCAATGTGTACCTATTACTGTTTTCAACATTTTTTTTTCAGTATTAGTCATAGTAAGAAACACATCTTTCTTCATATCCAGGACAAACATTTTTTTCATGCATATAAAAGATTTTTTTTTTGATTTTTTTTTTTTGAGTTGGAGTCTCACTCTGTCACCCAGACTGGAGTGCAGTGGCCGCTCCCGGCCACCGCAGCCTCGACCTGCTGGGCTCCAGCGATCCTTCCGCCTCAGCCTTCCAAGTAGCCAGAATTACAGGCATGTGCTACCACGCCTGGCTGATTTTTTGATTTATTGTAGAGATGAGGTCTCACTACCCAGGCGGGTCTCGAATCC